TTCAATAAATAGCATAAAATTACACAACAGATTTACAGCACTCGTGTTTACCAGGCAGGTTCTCAGGAACATAATTCATTTGCCCTTCTAAGGAAAAAAAAATAGAAAGAATTGAAATAGAATCTATTCACAGTTGCTGTTTGCTTACTTACTTAAGTTAAACAATCCTGTAACCATGCAATGATAGTCAAACCAAACAGATCAAGCAAACAAAACAAAAAAATAATTTAAAAAAACAAAACAACAAACACACAAAAAAGAAACTAAAAGAAAGCAAAAAATCTACAACTTGGTTGGCCCCCACTATAGAATAAAGGGATAATAATTAGTTTTGTACGCTGTAAATGTTTAAGGCCCCTATTGGCACATTCTAGATCATTCTAGAGCTGAGCTGCTGTATGGGGACACCTCAATGCAGCACTAAAAATGGAAAGTACTCCACTAAATATTCTCTACAATTGGGACTCAAACTTGGATCCTCTGCATGGAAAAGATCAAACATCACACAACATCCACTGACAACACACAGACTGAAAATAGAAAGAAACTATAGTAACAAAGTTTCTTTCCTATCAAACATCTATCGTCCTTATCTCCCCTTCTTCTTTTTTATGCTTGTTACTCTCTTGTAACACCTCTAATTTTCTGGCGCTCATATGACCTTATGCAGTTGCGAGCGCCGTAAAACCCTCTACTAAAACTATTTTTAAAAGTTTACAAAGCCGAAGAAAATCTTCAGAAAAGGAGAGAATGGGAAAGTGTGCAAAATGCAAAATGAGCATTTGCAGTCGATGCCTCAGTGACAAAGACATCTATGGGCTATTAGGAGAAAGCAAAAGACACGAGGGAGCAAAGCACGAAGGGACAAAAAAAAAGCTGGAATCTTGTCAATTTTTGAAAGGCTTTGGCAGATATAATTGATTGTTTCAGGAAAGAGAAGCAAATTGACAGACACAGACATTCTTTAAGCGCAGGAAAAAATCACAACTGGCTGAAAACAGATGAAGGGAAAGGAAATAAGCAAGACCTAGAAAATCTACCAGTGGTGCTCTCCAACAACAACAACCTGCTTTGTAGCTCTCTAAGCGGTGAGGGGAAGGTAGAAGGCTATGACAGATGAAAACGAGGAGAAGGAGATGTGGTGGAAGGAGGAAGGGAATCTTTGAAAGACAAAAAAAAAAACCCAAAAAAAACCCCAACGAAAAACCCCCATAAAACATCAAGCTAAGTAGCTATGGTTAAGAAGGAACAAAAACTCCCAACAACCGGAGAAGAAAACTCAACAGTAAGAGTTTTACGCCAGAATCAGCACACAAAATCTCGTTCATCGGGGCCAGCTCAGGGCGAGTGGGATACAACAGACTAGTAGTGGTAGTTTATTCATCTGTGAGTGTTGCAGTAACTTACTGAGTAAGTAGTCGTAGACATTAAGTTTGTTCAAGGCCAAAGGGGAAGAGTCATCATCATCATCATCAACATAGCAGCATTGAACTCGAAATGTCCACACCTGGATGAACAAATAATAAATCAAAGTTTCCAGAGCCATCTGATAGCACACACAATTACCGTGACTTGCAAACCATGAAACTTTGTTGTAGACATAACATACATACCATATAAAGGGGCAAAAATGAAAAAAAAATTTAAAAAATCAGACAGTGTCAAGCCACAATTTGGCTGGTAAAGCAAATGCAAACATATATTCAGCAACGGGGAGTAGGCACTACAGACTTGGGAAAAAACAACTGACGGTGAGGACTGGTTCATTAAAAATCCAAGCCCTTCATCCCCTCCATTGTAACAATGCAAATTTAGAACCTGGAGTTTGCACAGAAGCAATCAACATGCAGAATGACTTCAGATGTATCCAAATATTGGACATTTAAAAAAAATACAACACAAGTAACAGAAAAAAATGCAACATTGCAACAACGCAACATGCAAAATAAAACTCGCTCTCTAAATATTGCAAAGGCCTTCACAAAGTCAATCTGACACACCAACTTTAAATGCCTCCGGACTCCACAAATGACAAAACATCACACGAGCCTTCTCAAATTTTTCATATTGCTGACTTTTATTAAAAAGTTTTCACCCAAACACACACAAAAAATGGGAGAGTAAAAGTAAACTTCACCAAAGCAAAGTGAAAAAACCCTTCCTCTTCATACCACAAGAGGATGAAAAGCAGATAAAACTACTTGTTTTTATAATAATGTCCCATGACGTTCAAACTGAAAAACATTGCTGACAAAGTAACTGGCAATTATTTGAAGCTTACATTCATACCAAGAAAAGAGTGAAATAATCCTTTCTGAGAAAAAAAAAAAAATTCCATCACATGTAGTTCATGTTGGTTCGCCTTGTATTTTCTTGAAAGACAATCATACCACCAAATTGTTACAGAAGAGAGTAAAGATCTTATGCAACATCTAGCGGGGGAGGAAACTGCAACTATCATTGTTCTATATAGATCTCTAACATGCACAGCAAGAATTTACACAACAGTATCCAACAAATTAATGCACAACTATCTTAATAAAATGAGACATAATTTGTTCATTTCAACCTTATGTACTTCAGTCCATTTTTCCAATTTTATTTTAATTCTGTAATTAGTGGCCTGAAAAACGTTCACTTAAAATGCAATTACTTCAGATATGAAAATGCTTTGTGACGTGTAAAACTTCCACCCAGGTGGGATAACTTCAATTTTGGAGAGGTTGAAACATCCATAAGCTTTTTAGAGTCAAAGAAAAACTTCATCCGACAAAGACAATTAAAAACACTGACTCCGAGAGCTATACTTTGTGAGTGTGTGTGTATGTATGCTGACGTGTGTGTGTGTGAGTATATATGTGGACGTGTGTGTGTGTGTATATATGGACGTGTGTGTGTGTATATTTGTGGACGTGTGTGCGAGAAAACACATACATGCACACGCATCTATGCATGCGTGCATGTGTGAGACTGAGAGAGACATAGAGACATAAAGAAAAAAAAGAGTTCATGAGATTGTAGTCATTTATGTAGCAGTTTCCCTTTAAAGAACTAAATTTGGACTGAAGTATATTTTACATGTGGGGATATTCTTTTTTTAAGTGCACACTCAGATTCTCTTTATACAACTGATGTTTTCCATTCTAGATTCCTCCAGCAGATCATTACCTTGGTAATCTTGCATAGAAAAAGAAAACCCTGAAACAATCAGAGAAATACCTGAGACATGAGAACCCCTGTAATATGTTATATCACTGAAACGTCATTCAATTTACAAGCAAATTGCAAGTACTCACAACATTTCTGTGACTTGAACATATGAGTCAGATGAAAGCACACAGACCTCAGATATCTATGACTTGTGCCCTGCACTAACAATATCTTCAACAACATGCTAAAGAACATTTGACTAGAACACACACCTATGCAAAATCTACCCTCATAATGCCACATTTTAATATGTCATAACTAAATGCGAAACAGTTGCATCCCAAAGCCGCAAAGATGAAAAAACAAAGATATCGCTTTCTCTTTTTCCGCTATAAAAACATACCGTCGGCTCAGAACTATTTTGTCAAAAGTGTACTTAAATAAAGAGGTACTTTGGACAAAATAGTTCTGAGGCGACGATACATTGCCCACTCTTGGTCCAAGACACAATTCACTTTAACTAGAACAAAAAATGTATTGCAGAGACAAAGTCTTTTTACAAGTGTGGAGGTAATGGTAACACCTACTCTAACAATAACTTTCAGACAGTCATCTAAATTTAAGGACCGGAGAACAAAGTAGATAGAAGGGATTTTTTTTCACCCCAAGCACACAATGATTGAAAACTTTGCCTTAAGACTAAGAACATTTAAGAAACAGTTCTAAAACAGTTTTGAAACATTATAAATAAAAGAATGACCGCTAATTTTTAGCAAAGTAGCATTATGAACATTTCAGTGATGAAGATAAAAGTCTTGTTACTTTGTTCAAGATCAAAACTAATGCCTCCATTTTCTGATTCTAGCACACAAATTTCAGCCTGAGTACATCCAGACAGATCACACATCAGGATATACAGTAGTCTCCGCCTAAGATCCCGGTGCTCGGGAGCAAGGAAAAGCGGGATCTTTGGCGAACCGGGATCTTAACCGACGAACCCAGGGAAGAATCTATGGTGACCCATGTTAAGGCTTACAATCGGTAAAATGGTCTCCCTCCACTCTAAAATGAACTGACGTGACCGCTTGGTGGGTTTATGACGTTTGGCGAGCAAAGAGTGGTCAACCTTGATGACCTATCACAGGGCATAGTGGGATGAGGCGTGCCATTTTCACTTATTATCCTATCATGAGGCTCAAGATCTACGCTTATCAAGTTGCCCCTCCCCTCCCACTTACCTGTCGAAAATTTATAGATTTCCATCTCCCCCAACCGCCTTTGTCGTTACACACCATTACGTTGTGAACACACCAATTAAAATTCAGTCTGTCTCGCAAATTCGGGAGTAGAAACAACTTCTCCAATGGTCAGGGAAGAGTTCACAGTTCAATGTGATCCCGCCAGGAGCGAACGTGTAGGCCCTACCCACCCAATGAGTGATGTAAGTTTATGGGGATAGCTCAGGTGTGAGTGAGATGTTCGGGGAAAACAAACGTGTCGGTCAGTTCACACCCCGGTGTGATCCCGTCTGGGGCAAACATTGTATCGCTTCATCGAGTTTTACAACGTGTATGTGATCACATTCACGATAGTAGCTGATCTTTGATGCGACGGACAGTTTATTGATCTCAAATTTTCACTCTTGGTTGATCGGCTGTCCCGCCCGGGTTTTTGTTCCGCAAATTATGATCTGAAATGCGGGATCTTAGCCGAATGTAGACCTTCAGAGTGAATCAGAGCGGGATCTTAGGGGTGACTTTTGTATAGTAAAAATTCTGTTTTCTTGAATCAGCGGGATCTTAAGCGAACCGGGATCGTAAGCGATGGGATCTTAGGTGGAGACTACTGTATTTCACTAAGTAGAGCTGATGACCAGTTGTAAGGTCACAGTTTACAGAAAAAGGGCATGATATCGGTTTCTTTTCAACAAAACCAGATCGCAGAAGAAACAACACAGAAAAGAAAAGGAAGGAGCTGGCGACGCCACACCCCTACTTCCCCACACACACCCCTTAAAATACTATCCCACATAACTTAAGTATAATGTGAATTAATATGTAATAACACATTGGTTTTGCAAAGGAGAACAAGAAACCAGCTTGTAAGGCCTTTCCCTCAACAACACTCACAAACAACCTCCTTCCTCCCCACCCCTTTTTTCCTCCCAATCTAAATACAACACAGCTTTTAAATAGTAATCATTAATGCAGTAACATGCAGATTAATACAAGGATTGCGAGAAACCAGCTTGGTACGAAACAGAAAAGATAATACTTGACCGTACTGAGTTTTTCAGTCTGCTGTTACTTTGGATTCAATTTATGGAATGGCAACAGTTTAGTGTGCAACAATCTTAACAATGCAACAGACAAGAGTAAGCAAAGACAAAAGTTATTATTAAGACAAGGTGTATTTCTAAATTATATAATTATTAATATCAAATGATAATCATTCTTTAAGCTGAAAGCGAGAAAAGAAAAGTGGATCAAAGATAACATTTATGATAAAAGTTTTGCAGGCGTAATGCTTGGGAATACATTCGACTTTTACAGGCAAAGATCAAAACGACAAAGGTACCTTCGAACTGATTGGGAAAAAGGCAAGGTCATAATTACCCTCCTTCACTCAAAAACCCTAAATTCCTGCAATATTTTGACTCGCACATCTTTTGCTGTTCTCTAATACTAAAGCAACAACAATAAAAACAACAAAGTCAACATGATGAAAACAACAATACTAATGAAGAAAAAAAACAAAAAAAGAAATGTCAAAAGATGACAACTTCCAATTCGCTACATATGACCATCTCTGACTGTTAACCAGATCACAACTGCCCATTCTTCTCTACCCATACCCATTACATTCTGCTAACTTGGACCAATCCTCAATTAAAATATTGCAGTTGTAAAAATCATTTGGGGGAAAAACAGTAATGACAGGTTACTCTTGGTACATCCCAACACAAATCAGAACCATGATGGAAAGAAATAGTTTACCTGTATACAGCAAGGCACAGATAACGAGAACATGAACAACTCAAAATCCCGGATAGCTCGTACACTTTGCCCTTCCCTTAACCTTTCCAGCCCCAGCCATTTTTGTGTACTCCCTAACCCCAGTCCCAGCAAATACAGCAACAAGTATTTCAGAAAAAGAGGCAGGTATTCTAAAAAGTGATGTAGTATCTTTGTTATTATATGAAGATAATAACATACCAGAATGTTTAAAGGTAAATGAACAAATATAAAATTTAAAGATCAATTAGCTTTGCTCATTTAGAAAAATGCGCAAATTTGGTACCCCCCGAAACTGAGAATATACACTCTTGGGACGGAAGGAGGTACAAGCGCTGCTGAAAATATACGCGCATGGGGATGGAAGGGTTAATAATATCTCTTTAATTTTGTAGAGTAAGTTAAACTGAATTATAGGTGGGTTAATATATCTGTCAATCCCTAATCCCCTGACATGTTTGAGTTATCCGTGCCTGACTATATCTCTCCTCCTCCTCCCCCCCCTCCCCCTTCCAGAAAAGAAGACCACACACACACATTATCCCAGGAGCCAACTCCAACTCCAAAACAAGTTTCTTCATCCGTCACTCCAAGGTCTGTGACATGGAGAGTCCACGATCTAGGGAAGAAGTCACGGAGATCAAACACATCACACATCAGACTGGTCATGCAGTAAGGTCACATCCTATCATGGGACAGCCAGGGCCAGGTCTTATCCTAACCCTATCCTTATTCCTGTTTTTTTTCAAGAAGAAGGAAGAACTTAAAATAAATATTCCCCCCCCAACTCTAAACAAAACTGCCAGCAAGCTGTGAATCCCATTACTTGTATGTAATAGCTTAACAACTACACAATCTCATTTCACAACGGTTCAACCTTTCACAGAAACAAAGTTCTAAAGAGGCAGTTTCTATGAAAAGCATTGACAAATTTGCGAGTTCACAGACCTGATTTGTGCTGTTTTGAACCATACAACATGTGAAATCACAAACCACATCAATAGGGTAATATTACACAACAGAACATAATGCTGAAATATCAGAACACAAAAGGATTTTTTATTTAAGAGTTTAGGGTCCTTTTCTCGCTAGTGGAGGACTATGGCGTTTTCCCTCACCAGCTCTGTGATGTGTTCCACGACTGCTGGAATACTCTGACTGTGCCTTGCGTACTTTGGCCCCCAACACCTGGGCCCCTATCAACTTCCCGCTTTGCTTGGGGCCCTCGGGTGTCCCCTGCCTGGCCGGCCCGACTTCTTTCTCCATGCTCCGACTCTTCATCGACTGCTGCTCCAGTGGGAAAGAGCCCTGTCGACGATGTCGTTGATGACTCCCTGCGCCTTTTTTGTGACGATTTCCGGAAAGTTCTTTGGTTGAGTGCGAGTCCGATTCAGGTGACCAGCCAGTAGGGGCAGAAGAAGATTCCGATTTGACAAACGATAAAGAACCTTCCACCCTTGTGCTGGGACTCAGGGGAGCGGTGGACGATCGGGGCTTTGTGAAGGCTGGAGGAGGCGAATGGGAGGGAGGCGGGGGTCTCTGTGGGGGTGGGGGTCGGGGAGGTGGTTGTCGGGAGGGGTTGAAAGACGTTGACAAAGAAGAGCCATCATCTGCACGGAAAGAGATGAACGACGGACCAAGCACAGGCTGTTTGCCGAGACTGTCACAGGGGGGCAGCGAGGGGGTGGAGGAGAATGAGGATGAAGAAGAGGCGTGAAAAACTCTGCTCTCGTCGCGACCGTGAAAAGGTCGTGAGTACTTTGTGGATGACGACGAGCTTTTCCTGCGTGGCAGAGACTCGGCAGCCGTGTGTCCATTCTGCATACAGGAGCACGTCACAGGGGGAGCTGATGACGGAGGGGGTAGAAGGCTCTCCTCCCTCTCTGGGGTTCTGTCTTTGGTCGGGCTGGCAGGGAACTTGAAGCGGTTCTCGGATAAGTAGTTGTCGGACAGAAAAAACTCGGTGGACCATCCGGGTCCCACCACATCAGCCATGGCGGTCCTGTTGTGAGGGCCAGGAGGGTACGTCGAGGTCAACTCTTGCGTCTCCTCTCCTCCCTGACCGCCGCTCCACACGGAATTATTGGACGTATTCTCTCCAAACTTACGGACCTTGTTCCTGTGGTACGCCGGCTGTTTGAACTCGGGACTTTCGCGAAGTCGATCCAAACCAAACTTGTGGCCTGGAGGCGTTTTCTCCAGGCTGACACCCCCTATACAGAACTGCGGGCCACACCCAGGACCATCGTCTTTGCCTATCACTGGTGGGACACGCCCACCCTGACTCCACCCGTCTTGACTCCGCCCACTCACACAGCCAGACGGGGAGGAGGGAACAGGACCAGACTGGCTCTCGCTCCCGCCGTGCACGACCGCAGGAGTCAAAACAGACCGCCCTTCCTGTCCCGCCCCTCCCGACGAAAAGTGTCTGCTCTTCCCGTCCTCCCTCTGGTTCTCCTTATCACTTCGGTCGCTGTCGACCTCAGCTGCCCCACCCCCTGGTCTAGGAGGCCGCGCCCCAAAGAGGACACCGGCGGAGGAAGAGAAGCTGGGAGTCTGCACTGGGTCTGGCTGAAAGGTAGAACCCTGGGACACACCAGTGGGGGAAATGCTGAGGACACTCTCCACATGCTTCATTTTCTTCTTTTTCCTCTTCTTTGAACCCTGAAATGATGTTCAAATAGTGAAACATAAGAACGAAAAAAAAGATGTATTGATTTCATGGCACACATACAAGGAACCTGACTTTGTACAAACTGGAGCACTGAGGTTATGTAAATTTTGCAAAGGACAAAGACTAGTGCAAACAAGAGACCAAAATTTTTACTAGACTCCTGTCTGTTTGCAGTAAAGAGAAGCACAAAGACACAGTAAAAGCCTCTTCATGCGGAGAAAAAATAAACATAATAGAGGGTAAGAGATGTAGAGTCTACCAAGGGCACCCTTCAACAATCCACATTTTGATCAAATTTCAGAGAGCTGAAATGCATTACAAAAAAAATAATTATTTTAAAAAATTAATCACATCAAATTATTCAAAGATTTTTTCCAAAGCAAAATGAAAAAAAAGAAGTACAGCATAACGCATTAAAAAGTAAACAAAACAACAACAACAAAAACAATATTTTTTGTGTACACAAGTTAAAAGAACAAAGCCCAAAAGACGTACCTGACTAACTCCAGGGGAATGAAAAGTTGACCTCCCTGAATCACTTACAGAAGGGCCAGTCCCTAAAACTGTCAGGGAAAAAAGCAAGTGGTGAAGATTATGAGAAAAATACAAATGCGTCTCAGCCGTGGAATGACAAAAACATCTATAAACAGATAAGCGAACATGAAATATCTGTATGCAGGTAAGTGAAAACAAAATAAAGGCCTACATTATAGATCCTCAATAGCAAGACATTTACAAATCTACGGCATTCATTCTGATCTCTGTACTGACTCACTGCATTTGACGATCAAAACATTTAACTTATCTCAGCATAAAGCTGTTCACTGTGAACTGTATGTTTTCTTGAAAGAGTTGCAGAAATGAAGCCTTGTTGTTTTAGTAGAGGTTTTACGGCGCTAGCAACTGCATAAGGTTATATGAGCGCCTGAAGATTAGAGGTGTTACAAGGGAGTAACAAACATAAAAAAGAAGGAGGGGAGATAAAGACAGTAGATGTTTGATAGGAAAGAAGGAGCAATCCACAAAAGAGCACCCGCCAACCACCAACAAATGAAGCCTCTCAAGTACTCCCAGCTTTGACAACCACACACAAGACAAACACTCACATCTTGGAGCAGTCACCCTGTTCACAATCCATGTAGCTACATAATCTGAACTTCAGCTTTATGTATGTCACGTCACTAGATTTAACAACAAAAGTTCCCCTCAAGAGCAAAAGCTACGACTTTTTCTCCTCCCTTCACTCACCGAGACTCGTCTCACTGGACTGCCTTTTCAAGGCCGCGCCAGACCCCGCCCCCGCGCTGGCCACACCCACGTCTGAGTTGCGTCGCTGACCGCTGGAGGTGTCCACGTGCTCCACCTGAGGTTGTTTGGGCATGGTGTCCAGCAGGAACTGGTGGTCAGACAGAGCCAGGGGTGGCTTGGAGCGACCACGGTAGGAGGAGACCAGGAGCCAGAGGAACAGCAGGACTTGGAAGATGGAGAGAAGCCACTGGCGCTGGTTCAGCTGGGGATGGGTCAGAGTTGATCTTTGTTTTAGAAAAGTTTGATTTAGTAAGAGTTTTACGGCACTCGCAATGTAATAATGTCATATAAGCGTAGAAGATTAACAGTGTTACAAGAGAGTAACAAACACAAAAAAGGAGGAGGAGTCATAAGGATGACAGGTGATTGATGAAAGAGGGAAAGAAGGAGAAAACCACACCAGAGTGCCTGCCAACCACCCACTTTGAGTAGAGAAGAACATAAATAAGACTATGTCCCTTTCCCTTCTCTTTCCTCCACCTCAACATCAGTTCAAACTCATTACCGAGTTCCTACTTGAAATACT